TCCAGAAGAAGAAGATTCTGTTGTAAGCCCGACAGCAGGGTGAGTAGCATGAGCAGCAACCATTCAACACAGTACGGCGCCATTGTTGTTGTGATACTGTGTTGCGCATGCGTGTTTAGAGGCGACGCTATGACGCATGCGTGTAAGAAAAAAAATGCGGTTAGAGCTTAAAGATGGAAACGCGAAAACGGCGTTTCAAAATCTTCCTAATCTGAAGGCTTAATAAAAAAAGATCGTTTACAGACCCCCGAAACGCCGGCTTCGTATGGATGAGAGGCTGGTTTGGTGAAAAATTTGTGCGTTTAGGCCAGGGTTTGACTTCGTGTGGACGGGGCCTTAATCCCCCCTTATTGTTATATCAATAAAGTCTATCTAATAATATAAGCATAATTTAATTCACACTCTGACTTTTTAAGTTTACCAGAGTTCCTAGAACTTTCTAAGCACTTTTAAGCACTGCTTATGGGGTTTGATGCAAAACAGAGGAAATGTGGAGATAAAATGTTTATTCATTGCATTTAGCAATTTAGGAAATGCTTTTATCCGAAGCGACTCACAAAGCTGACACAAGACGCAGACATATCCCTAGTCAGAATCAGTGGTGACCGCAAAGAGAGAGAGAACAGGAAGTACAGAAAGAGTAGCAGAGGGGTACAGAGGTATGGGAAGGAGTTAGGATAAGAGATGCTCTTTGAAGAGGTTGGTCGTTTTCTAAAGATAGAAAGGGACGCTGCAGTTCTTGAAGCACTTGGTAGGTCATTCAACCATCTAGGAACAACCCATGAAAACAGTCTGGATTGTCTAAAGCGTGCTGTAGGCACTGCTAGACCACAATCCATTGATGACCGGAGTGACTGAGAGGTAGGCCTTTGCAAGTGGGTTCAAGTAGATAGGAGCGGTACCCTTTAGCACTTTGTAGGCTAGCATCAGGGACTTGAATTTGATGCGGGTAGCCAGGGGTAACCAGTGAATGAATGAACAGAGTGGTGACGTGACACTAAAAGCATATTAAGCCATTGTTAAGGGTAAACTGTTAGAATCTGTAAACCGTGCTCAGGCCCTTACCCAAGCAGCCACCTGGGTGTAGTGGCAGCCAAACCTTCCTATCCCTACAGAAGCTTGGGCCACATGGTGACGGGGCTGCAGTCCAAAAAGGCAACTCCTGTTACCGTTTTGGACTGAGTCTGGCTGAACCCCAGGATAATAATCCAGCAGACCTGGCTCCAGAAGGGGGAAGGGGGGGTCCAGAAGGCAGATAATTGTGGTCCTCCCTCACCTAGACATTTAAAACCCTTTTATTCTGACTCCTCCCCTACAATCAACCTGATACATGAGACGCTACCAGGATTCTAAAGCATCAGCAACACAGCATCTCCTCCATAGGAAGGTGCTGATCTTCTAAAAGGGTAATAAATGAGGTGCGGTGGACATATGATGAGGATGGCTCCATTAATATGTTTGCTAAGACCCAGATCCTATGTGGTCGGTGAGCCCAATTGCACTTCAGTGTTCTGTTATCATCAAATAAAAAAGCAAGTATTGATACTGGGGTGAAAATGACTGAAGCAGCAAATGTTTGAATAAGATGATGAGAGATATGTTCAAAAAGTCTGGAAATCATGAACCAATATCCATTTAAAGGAATGCAAGAAGGTCTGACTCTTGAAAATCCATTGTCTCTAGAAACCAGTTATCCTAACAGCCATGTTATTTTAACCTTGCAAGCACGATGAAATGTCGCTTGATTTGTGAATCCACAAACTCTTGAAAATACATCATGCCAGAAGCCAACAGATGCAATAACCTTGATACAGAAATGTTTTGAACCAATGAAACACAGCGAAGTGGACAACGTCAACATGTCAACCAGAGGCAGAAGGCTGAAGCTAAACAAACTTGGCCGTGCCAGTTTTAGCTGGAACACCCTCTATTTCTTTTTTGAAAAAAGAGCCAATTGGATGCGATTTTTGCCTTTGTGAATGGGAAGATGTTTGTGCATTACTCTCGATTTGCTACGAGTTTAAATGAACAGTTGTGAAACAAATCAAGGTTATGATGAGTCACAGTAGCTTCTGGTGCTGCAATTGGCTGAAAACTCGACATGGGAGGCAGATGCCACATGGAGATTTACCCAATCAGGTTGAAGAATTTGATTGAATGTCCCTTCCTTTTGTGAACACTTTCCACAGGAGCCTTTCCAGATGGATACTGTGTAATTTAACTACATGTATCAATCCATCTCATGTCAGATTATTGTTATTTGGAGTGTGGAAGGACACCAAAGTAACCTCAAAAAATCCAGACATACACTGGGAGAACATGCAAAGAAAGACCTCAGATGGGTTTAAACCCATTACAGCTTTCTGCTGCACGACCATGCAGCTCCTAAAATACAGGTGCTGGTCATAAAATTAGAATATCATGAAAAAGTAGATTGATTTCAGTAATTCCATTTAAAAAGTGAAACTTGTATATTATATTCATACATTACATACAAACTCATATATTTCAGATGTTTATTTTGTTTAATTTTGATGATTACAAATGACAACAAATGAAAATCTCAAATTCATCATATCAGAAAATTAGAATATTGTGAAAAGGTTCAAAATTGATGGCCCCTGGTGCCACACTCTAATCAGCTAATTAACTCAAACCACCTGCAAAAGCCTTTAAATGGTCTTTCAGTCTAGTTCTATAGGCTACACAATCATGGGGAAGACTGCTGACTTGACAGTTGTCCAAAAGACGACCATCGACACCTTGCACAAGGAGGGCAAGACACAAAAGGTCATCGCTAAAGAGGCTGGCTGTTCACAGAGCTCAGTGTCCAAGCACATTAATAGAGAGGCGAAGGGAAGGAAAAGATGTGGTCGAAAAAAGTGTACAAGCAAGAGAGATAACCGCACCCTGGAGAGGATTGTGAAACAAAACCCATTCAAAAATGTGGGGGAGATTCACAAAGAGTGGACTGCAGCTGGAGTGAGTGCTTCAAGAACCACCACACATAGACGTATGAAAGACATGGGTTTCTGCTGTCGCATTCCTTGTGTCAAGCCACTCTTGAACCACAGACAGCGTCAGAAGCGTCTTGCCTGGGCTAAAGAGAAACAGGACTGGACTGCTGGTGAGTGGTCCAAAGTCATGTTCTCTGATGAAAGTAAATTTTGCATTTCCTTTGGAGATCAAGGTCCCAGAGTCTGGAGGAAAAGAAGAGAGGCACTTCATCCACGTTGCTTGAAGTCCAGTGTAAAGTTTCCACAGTCAGTGATGGTTTGGGGTGCTATGTCATCTGCTGGTGTTGGTCCATTGTGTTTTCTGAGGTCCAGGGTCAACGCAGCCACATACCAGGAAGTTTTAGAGCACTTCATGCTTCCTGCAGCTGACCAACTTTTTGGAGATGCAGATTTCATTTTCCAACAGGACTTGGCACCTGCACACAGTGCCAAAGCTACCAGTACCTGGTTGAAGGACCATGGTATCCCTGTTCTTAATTGGCCAGCAAACTCTCCTGACCTTAACCCCATAGAAAATCTATGGGGTATTGTGAAGAAGAAGATGCAATACACCAGACCCAACAATTCAGAAGAGCTAAAAGCCACTATTAGAGCAACCTGGGCTATCATAACACCTGAGCAGTGCCACAGACTGATCGACTCCATGCCACGCCGCATTGCTGCAGTAATACAGGCCAAAGGAGGCCCAACTAAATACTGAGTGCTGTACATGCTCATACTTTTCATGTTCATACTTTTCAGTTGGCCAACATTTCTATAAATCCTTTGTTTTTATTGGTCTTCAGTAATATTCTAATTTTCTGATATGATGAATTTGAGATTTTCATTTGTTGTCATTTGTAATCATCAAAATTAAACAAAATAAACATCTGAAATATATGAGTTTGTATGTAATGTATGAATATAATATACAAGTTTCACTTTTTAAATGGAATTACTGAAATCAATCTACTTTTTCATGATATTCTAATTTTATGACCAGCACCTGTATGGCTCTTTGGAAGCAAAGTTAAAGAAATGAAATAGCACCCCAAGATTTTTGCAGAGCCCTATGCAATGTGCATTTATATTTAGTAAAATCTTTTCCCCAATAATAAAATTGTTTGTATAAATGTTGCACACTGCTGACCAAGTGTGCTAGAGTGTGTCTGAACTTGCATAACATCTCTTTAAACCTCAGGGCCCCCGCTGTGTAAAAAAATGGGTGGTGGGGGGGTTCACCCCATAGAGCTTGAGCTAAACTGTGTTATTGTTGAAGCTGTGTGGTCCTGCTGCCTGCCAGTCTCAAACACACACCGACACACACACACAAACGGTGCGATAGGAACGGTGGCAGCAGAAATGTGAGACTCTGTCAGAGCCTGGAGCCACATTAGCGAGCATTCAGTGCGTGGCATGACCTCTTGGCTCCCCACACAACACGCAGACAACTCTCACTTTCAGTTTCCTACTAAAATGATGCTCCATTTGATCAATTTAAACAGTGTAATCTAAATCCATTTTAAATGGAATTTTAAAGTCTTATCCGCCTTATGTCTTCTATAACTCCTCCTGCTTCTACCTCTCATTAATCTACACATAAACAAAAATCTTAACAGCATAAATTGGATGGAATCAGACAATGCTTGCCACCAGGTAGACCAAATCCCAGAGGTGCTGTTACATCTTCCCACTTCCTACTGTGAGCAGCAGACTAGCGTTCCTGTTCCTCAACACCTGCGTGCTGCCTCTTTGCTCTAATCACAGCGAGGGAAGCACAGGCAAAGGGAAAAATAATGCCTGGAGCCATGCAGTGTGTGTGTGCGTGTGTCACTATCTCCCACATTCAAAGTGTGGAAACACCCACCCGTAGAATCTCGCACAAACACTCATCAGTCTGTGTGTGTAGCTACAGTACATGAGGGCGGCGGATCAGTGGAGCGGCTCATTGTCAGCAAGGTAACAGGAGAGGTGACAGACTGCTGGGAGTGTGAGGGTGTTTACCTGTTTAGTCATGGAGTCTATGAGTCGGACGTAAAAGTCCTGCTCTGTTCTGATGCCTGTCGGGATGCAGAGGAAGAGCAGGAATCAGAAACTTTACATGGATTTTAATTAAAAGCATTGTGATAAACATTACGTAACAAAGATCTGCAATTCCTTTTTACTGTTAGTTTAATTTATATGTCTATTATGTGTTTTTATTCCATCTAACCCCCTTAAATAGAACTAATATGGAGCAAAATACCACACAATCTGGCCAATAGATGAGAAAGAATGTGTTTGCACATTTAAATACATTAATACTTAAAGGCATTTTTTGAGAACGTCCAACCTTTAAATTTCAAGCAGAGGAAATCTTTATTTTTTTATTAAACTTAACAGTTATTGTTACCTCTGTTAATATTTCTTCAAGACAAATTTTTATAGTAATAAAGCACTTAGAGTTCTCTCCTTAGAGATAGTTAAGGCATAAAAACAGGATTAATTTCCCTTTTTCTTTCTGTATATTCACTCCAGATCATCCAGAGTCCTGTGTAGGCTCCCCTCTCTTCAGCTCACCAATTAAATCATTGACAGGATTTAAGTGTAAGGATTTCCATGTTGGAAGGTATGTTTGTTTTCTGGTGAACTTTTGTTTTTATTATGACCAAAGTTTTGGAGCTTTATCCAGCTGCAAGATTGAAAGATGTTTCATTTTTAATGTGCTGCCTTGAAGTTTTAATGAAAATGTCCTCCTATATCAGAAATGTCATAATGCCATGTACTCTACCAATGTTCCTAATGTCTTTTGCAGAGAAAAAGTGTGAAGCATCAGATCATCCATTCAATTTAACAGTGGGTACTCTGTGCTTCGGTAAATTTTCCTTCCTTTGAATAAAGACAAAAAAAACCTGGAGTGTTTGTTGCTGAAAAGCTCAATCTCATCTGAGATCCAGGTAAAGCCCTAAACTCCATGTTTATGTTTGTGATGGTAGGAAAGAAAAGGGCAACAATGTGCTGTCCTCCAGGTCTGGTTATACAAAAGAAAAAACTCTTAACCTTTTTATTTTAGGAAAATATTAAAAACTCTAAAACTAAAATAAATAAGAACAATAAATAAATAAACTTCGAGATACCTAAAAAAAAAAAACTATCAGGTGCATTTTAGGAAATTCTAAACTACATTTATGTTGTCCATGTTGAAATAGAATTAAAATCTAAAAAGCAAATTATTCTCAGTGTGAATATTCAATGTTTTTATAATGATTGATTCATAACATTGTTCTTTTTTTTTTTACAAAAGATTCTTTGAAGTAGTTTGGTTAGGCCCATAACAGCCTCACATTACTCCAGCTTGAAGAAATTAAAGTATAAATCAATCAATTTAGATGCAAAATACATGTGAAGATCATTCAGCTGTTAACAAGTATGAGCCTCTCATTTGATTCTGTTATAAAATACTGGAACCCAGACACTTTACAGAGCCTAATATAGGGATGGTGACAGTGGGAAGGCCACGGAGCTGCTCCAAATCGTCTGCAACAGCAGCAGAGAAATTTGACTATTAGGTCTCATGAAATTCCTGCAGCTCTCCTGAGTCTGCTGCTGTAACAAGCTGTGGCTCCTGGGATGCTTTGCTACAAAATCTCCTCCAGGAAGATGGAAAAATATTTTTTTGTTTGTTTGTTTTGCTCAACAGGATGGGAAAATTCTTCCTCTGTGCATATTTATGAAAAAAAAAAAAAGTTTTTCCCTAAGTGATGAGGAATAACGCAGCCACTCACCGTTACTGTAGAGAAGCTGCAGCCGGTAATGAATCCCGTTATTGGTCTTCTCCCCGCTAGTCTCCTTAAACACACACACGAGGCAAACACTGAGCTGTTTATTGAGATTTACTGCACTTTAATTTCAAAACAAGAAACTGTTGGCGCATCCAGCAAAAGGCCAGACAGAGCGAGTCCAGCCTTACACAGTGAAATATGTTCACCGCTGATGTATTAAAGGAGCGCAGCCTTGTAATTTTCCTAACTGTGTTGTTGTGGATTTTTTTTATTCTTCTGTAATTACTGGTTATGTTTGGAGGGAGGACAATAAATCCGACACTCAGTTCGCCCATTGCGCTGCGATGGCATAATTGATGAGGCGCTCCGCTGCGCTCTTGTATATATAAAACAAGTGGTTATGTTCAACTGAGCTGTAAATTAAAAACAATCGAAACGAACAGAGAAGGATGGATATCTAATGGACACATAAAAAAAAATCACAATGTGTTTTTGTCGTTTATTTGGATCATAAAAGCAAATTAGGCTATAATTTTTGTATTTAAAAATAAGAAAATAATAATAACAATAAAAAACGCCACTAAAAAATATATTATTTTATTAAATTATATTATTAAAAATAATATAACAATGATATGCCTGCTTAAATTCCTAAGCTGAATTGGATAAGGCCTAAAATTGAGATTTATTCTCAAATGAAAGATTTCCTAGAGTTTTCCCACACACCTTCTCTTTCTCGATGAAGTCCACGAAGTTGGTCCTCTCGATCTCCACCGGCTGGCCCTGTCGGTCGTACAGAGCCAGGACGAAGTGGAAGAAGTTGGACTTCCGCAGGTTGGAGGGCGGCTGCTTCTCAAAGTGAGCCCGGGCCAGACCCACCCCACTGCGGACACACAGGCAACAAGGGCTTTGCTTTGCTTATTTATTCCCTTTTATTTTGTTAAAGAAAATCCTTTCCAATATATATATATATATATATATATATATATATATATATATATATATATATATATATATATATATATATATATATATCATTAAGGAAAAAAGGAAAGAAAGAAAAGGCCGTAAGACTCTGCTGAAAAACAACAACTTTTGGTTGTCTAAAAAAAATCTACAACTTGATTTGCTGTCACCCTAACCTAAGAGTTCTTAATAAGTTTATATATATATATAGGCTATTTGTGTAGGCTATATCTTTGTGAGTGTAAGGAAGAACCTGTCATTGTTAAACTTTAAAAGATTCAGATTAATTAAAAACTTTCTTTATATATAGGCCTACATGTAATATTATATATAATATTATATATAGCCTACGTCTAATATATCATTAGGCGTTAGTAAAAGAGAATAAAAAACAACAAAAGCACGTGTTTGGTGATTATGTGTTAAAAAGGTTCATCTGAATAAGGATTTTAATTCTCCAAAGTATCTCCATGGCGTTAAATCCAACAGTGTCTCTCCGAAGAAGATAACCACGCAAAAAGAAAAGCAAAAAAAGCGGTTGTTTTTGGATCTTTCCTGACTTGTGATCGGTGGCTTGAGGCGGGTAGAGCTCACCTCTGAGCGGCCGTGTTGGCGTCCAGCACGCCGCCTCCCTGCATCCAGCTCCGGACGTTCATGCCTCCCAGCGGCTCTTCCTTCAGACTGCTGCCGCCTCTCTGGATGCTCTCCTGGATCCCGAACATGAACAAAACCTCCGAAAGCGCAGATCTTGATCCACTCCTGCTGCGCACTTGTTCTGGGGTTGGATCCGTCACCCGGACACCGTGGGTGCGCTCCTGCTCCTGCAGCTCTTTACCCCGCTGACTGCTGTCCTGTTCAGGTATCTGAAACTAAAGCTGAGCGCAAATCTTACTGCAGTGATCAGATCCAACTTGTTCCAACATTTACGGATGGTAGAAAATCGCTTAAGAAAATGACGGGAACTGAGATCCACAGTTTAGGCTGTCAGAGAGGGAAAAAAGGAGATCAGATGTCATCATTGTCTGACACTTCTTTCTTCATCTTTCACGCTCTTGTTTCCTCCGCAGCTCTGCGGTGCGCGGGATGTGCCGTGGCGTGGGTGATGTCCACAACGGCGCTGCGTCCTGCGCTCTGCACTCCGCTCTGGCTCTGAGGAAACCGCTTTGTGACTCTTCCCAAAGGACTCTTCTCTGAGAACCAAATGAGGGGGGGCGCTTCTACGCCCCAGGAGAGAGAGAGAGACCCAGAGAGAGAGAAAGAGGGAGAGGGGGGGAGTGGAACCGAAATGGAAGGGAATACAGGAGGAGGGGAAAAGGAGGAGAGGGGACGCCCCCAAACAAAGACAGGAGTGGAGCAGGTCTGCATCACTTTGCCATGTGGGTCTCATCAGCTTTTAATCTGATTTTAGTTTTTTAATCACCAACAAATTATCTTTAAAAAGTTTTGGCTGCAGATGGAGCAAAGAAACTGTTAGAAAACAGGCAAAAAAGGACCTTATTTAGCAGCTGGAACATGTTTCCTCCAGTCAGCAGCTCACTGGAAACCTTTTCATAATGAAATAAGGATGTAAAGAGGGAGCAAACAATGATTTTCATAAAAAGGAAAATAAAGAAAATGTAATTGTTCTCAGACCAACTCTCTTGTTGTCAGAGTTTAACATTTAGATTTATCAAAAACAGGGCTGCTGATTATCATTTTTCTAATGATTAATCTGTCAATTATTTCTTCAATTAATCAAATAATTAGATAGTTCTTTAAAAAAGATTTTAAACAGAATTCAAATTAAAAAATAAATAAATCTAAGGAGTTCTGAATAGAACATTTTGACACTTTTTTATCTTATTTGCAAAATGTTTAAAATTATTTTTTACAATTGTGGTATAATTACTGCTCTATTTGGGTTGCTCTTATGATTCATGGCAGGTTTTGGAGTCTTTATGCTGCGGTCAGCGATTAATCGATTGCTAAATTAGTTGACAATTATTCCAATAATTGATTAATCAGGATGAATCAAACTGATTGTTACAGCTATAATCCAAAACACTTCACAGAATCTAAGACATGCATCCCCGTAACATGATCTGGGGCTCAGTGGTAGGCAAGCTATCTCAAGATTTATTTTTTTGTATATTTACTATATATACAGTATATCTATGTGGGAATATTGGATAAAACATTTTCATAAACTTAAAAAGTTTAACGGGAAGGTTACTCTATTTTAAGTTAATTGAAGTGCAACTAAAGGGAGAGGAGGTATGAAAATAGGAGGTTTTACTTTTCATAACCCATTTTTTGGCAATTTACATAAATCTATGTGATTTCTCTGGCTGTATATACCGACAGGTTTATTTGGTGGAGGGTTTTGTTTCTATTTATGTTAAGGTGAATTTGGTTAGTTTGGAAATTTGTGTTTAATTTGGTTAATGTTAACTAGTCTCTTTTGTGTGTATATATGGTTGATTAGTATATTGTTGTCAAATTTCCTCTCTGACAAATTGTCTGAAATAAATTCCTATTCATTCATTCATTCCTTCATTCATTCATTCATTCATTCATTCATTCATTCATTCATTCATTCATTCAGTGTAGCATGTTAGCTCTTTTAAGCTGAGCTCTTAAAATGAATAAGCAGAGACGACCGGTGCTGCTGTCCCAACCTCCAGTCACATTAACTCAAATGTTCCAGGTGCAAGTTTGAAACTCAGAGGACTTTGAAGGCTGCTATGCTTAGTTAGCATGACACCAAACGATGAACCCGATTTTTAACACTTTATGCAACAATTTCTGAGATTCCTGTAGTTTAGTTTTGACAGAGCTGTGAATTACCTGCTAGTTGGTGACAAACCTTCATCTTAGTCACATTTCTTCACATCTCTGAATTTTGAACACTCCAACTTTTCAATTAAAGATGGATTTCACAGTTAAACCAGATTTGATCTAAACATGCTGTGGAGATTAATTGAAACATTTTCCTTCATTTGCTTTGGTGACGGGCTGCAAGGTAGCACAGTTTATAGCACCACCCAAGAACAGAGAAGGTTCCAGGTTAAAATCCCAGACGATGGACTTTCTGCATAGAGGAAACATATTCTGTCTGGGCTCACTGGCTTCTTCAGTTCAAAAACATTGGGTTGATTAGTGATTTTAAACTGCCCTTAGGTGTGAGTGTGGATGCTTATATGTCTCTGCACACTCTCTGCTGGAGATAAATTTGACCCTGATAGTAAAGGATCAATGTTTTTATGACAAAAAACAGCAAGCTTTAAAAGATCATATAGCATTTACATTTTATATATCCTGGGGTGGAGCTTCTGTAAAGTTCACAAACACATTTGGTTTGACCTTTTTAGGTTTTCTAAAAGGGACTTGTTACAAACTGCACATTTCAAATCCAGTAGCTCACTCTGTTTACACACAATGGTTTTCCCACTAAATGATCGCACCCTTTTGGTTTATCACATTTAATTTCTGTATTTTACACTATGCTCTATTTGTTAAACAGTAGAACACTTGTGTATGTTACTATAGCAGGAACATGTTACCAAGACTATGATATTGCACATGCATGCAATGAATTAACAACAAATGGAGCGAAGCAGGTGACGCTCTGTGGTGTTAAAACAAAGGGGAAAAGTCCAGCATGAACAAGTAAAACATTTATTTATGCCAATAGGAATGAGGAGTGAGAGGCACCTGGAATATATGAATGTTGGTATTCACTGAGGGGAGAGCAGTGCAGAAAAGTTCAGATTTTGCACAGTAATATTAGGGAAAACGATGCTTTTATTAGGCTCTTTGTTACAGTGCTGAAAACGTTCATTATATGAGTGATTGGAGTTTAAAATTATAAACCTTACATTATACTTATATTTTACAAGTTTTATAAAGATGCTGTTAGTGCTTTACTGTGCAAGCAGATTGCACAAAACGATGTTTATGTCGGCGGATTACACCCAAACAAAACATTTAAAGGCTTAAAACATGACTTAAAGGCACTTGCACTATATTGTTTTATTTTAAGATAAATATGTTTTTTTATTACAAAAATGTGAATAGGTTCTCTGTTTTTTGTCCAGGTCACTTCTAATGTCCTTGTCTGAACTTTTAGATTTGTCCAAAATTGAGGCTTTTACATTTAAACATTCAAAAAGATTTAAATTATTCATAAGTAATTCACGATTAGGAGGGATTTTAAATTCAGATTGTTAGAACTTGAACCTATATTTGTATTTAGTAAAGACCATTAATATTTGAAGCTATAATTGTGAAGAAATCTTGCATGCTGTAGTAGATTGCTAAGGGATTTTAAAAGACAACAGGGTCCTCCTTTTACTGGCTGTCTACCCTTAGGTATCACTAATGCATCACCAAGTCTTTCTCTGATTGGCTGATCTGTAGTGGTAGGACTAAGTTCAATTCAATTCAATTTATTTATATAGCGCCAAATTCACAACACATGTCATCTCAAGGCACTTTACAGTTCAACCAGATCATCCAGTCAAATTGATACAAAGTTTTCTATCTAAGGAAAACCAGTTGATTGCATCGACTCATTGACTCAAATACAATCCCTCACACTAAGCATGCTTGTAGCGACAGTTGAGAGGAAAAACTCCCTTTTAACATGAAGAAACCTCCAGCAGAACCAGGCTCAGTGTGAGCGGCCATCTGCCGAGGCCGACTTGCTTTGCAAGTTTAATGTCTTTGTCCTCAAGTTCCGAATCAACTCTTAAATTTCAAATTAAAATCTTAGCATTTTGTCGTTTTAAGTCGTAGCTTAATAATTAATTGGATTATATGTTAAATATAAATAATCAACCATGTTTAATTTTTCAAAATCTGTATTTATCTCAACAACTGAGAAAACCTGTGCATCAGATATTTGCTAAACCCCAGTGGGCCTCGGCAGATGGCCGCTCACACTGAGCCTGGTTCTACTGGAGGTTTCTTCCTGTTAAAAGGAGGTTTTCCTCTCCACTGTCGCTACAAGAGTGTCTGCAATCAGCTGGTTTTCCTTATATGGAAAACTTTGAATAAGTCTGACTGAATGATCTGGTTAAATTATCGATTTAAAGCGCCTTGTGTTGCGAATTCGCACTATATGAATAAACTGAATTGAATTGAGTTATTTCACTGTGAGAAAAAAAATTCCCAAATGAAATAGTTTTCATTTTAAAAATAAATGTAATTCTATTAAGAAATAACTAAATGTACCATGAAGTAATGAAATTAAAATTAAATAAATTAATGTACAATTAACAATACCATTAATTAATTAAATGTATGATTCATCTGTTTGGTATGTTATCTAATAATTATAATAATTAAATGTAGCATTAAATAGAATATAAAATTAAAGTTAAAAAAATTTAAAATGATTAATTCTTTAATATGTATTTAAATAATTTATATTTATTATTTGATGTGCGTTTAGTTTTTTTTATCCATATCAAATAAACAAATAGTACATTTAATTACTCAATGGTACGTTTATCTATTTAATTTAATATTTAATTGTTAGGGGCTGCATGGTTTCAGGTCCGATCCCCAGCTAAAGGTCTTTTTGCAAGGAGTTTACCTCCTTTCCCTGTGCATGTGTAGGTTTTCTCCGGGTATTCCAGCTTCCTCCCACATATATTCACATTTAATTCATTTATAATATACCTATTTGTTTCATTTTGTCCCTTTTAACCCTCCATACAATTTTTTATGCAACTTCAAATCTCAAAGTTGGTTGCTCCATCTTCATGTGTGATACTCCGCATGTTTTGCATGTTACATTCTATTTTTGTCAAGTTTATAAGATTTGTGCAGTTTATTTACCAAGAAGGTGTTACCCTTCAGAGCATATATGTCTTGGACGTTTTGCTCTATACAAAAACACTTGTTGATATAATTCGCTGTGCTGCTTTTGCTGCCCAGATAGATACAGAGTGTGGGAAGACAGAGAGACGTTATTTTGAAAAATCGGTGTTTTAAACTTTACATTTTGGGTAAAATATTAGGTATTTTCAAGAAATGGGTTCAACTCCATTTCAAGCCTCAAGTCATTGTAAAAACCTAAACACAAGTCACAAGTTGGAACATTTTTCAAGTCAAGGCATAACTCATAAAATGAAGGACTTGAATCTCCGCCTCTGCTGATCAGTCCTCACCATAGAAGTTTCCATCTATACTGGCCCATTTTGTTTGCTTAA